GAGAGAAAGAGATAGAGTGCAAGCGGGGGTGGGGCAGAGGGAGAGAGAAAATTTCAAGCAGACTCCAAGTGGGAGCGCATAGCTGGACTCAGGGCCAAAATCACGAGCCAGTCGCTCAACTGACTGATCTACCCACGTGCTCCAGGCCCTCTTCTTCTTGGCATCTTATCCATGATGAAGAGGCCTGGGGCTGTGACGGTCATTTTACCAATAGCTTGAGGATGGAACTAATGAAAGAGGAGAGCAAGACAAAGACCATGGCAGAAAATGGAGCTGGAGCCCTGGCTGAACTACACTTTTCCTTTGCCCTGTTTAGACCTTGTCAGTCTGGTAGTCAATGAATAATAGCCTTGATTTTTACACAATTTTTACTTGATAATTGTGTTTCTGGGAGCCAAAAGGTTCATTTTAATGTATAGAATCCCAATTTATACTCCCCCCCAATATATACTTTTAAAATGTTGTGTATTTACTTATTTATTTTCTAAAATAATTTACTTTTTTGAGAGAGTGAAAGCACAAGCAGGGGAAGGGGCATGGGGAGAGGGAGAAGTAGACTCCCTGCTGAGTGGAGAGCCTGATGCAGGGCTCAATCCCAGGACCCTGGGATCGTGACTTGAGCTGAAGGCAGATGCTTAACCGACTAAGCCACATAGGTGCTCCTCTTGTGTTTATTTTTTAAACTTAAAGGTTTAGAATTTTTTCTGATTATAAAAATACACATTCATTATAGAGAATGTAGAAAACATTGAAAGATACAAAGAAGATTAAATCCACCCATAAACCCATTATCCTAGATAACTGCTATTAGTATTTTGTTTTTTTTTAATTTTTATTTATTTATGAGAGTCACAGAGAGAGAGAGAGAGAGGCAGAGACATAGGCAGAGGGAGAAGCAGGCTCCATGCACCAGGAGCCCGACGTGGGATTCGATCCCGGGTCTCCGGGATCGTGCCCTGGGCCAAAGGCAGGCACGAAACCGCTGCGCCACCCAGGGATCCCTGCTATTCGTATTTTGAATCAGCCTTCTCTTTATGTATACAAACTTATGATGTAGGTTGGCCAGGTCAGAGGACCCAGAGCAGGTCCCACATGACCAGCCAAGGGGTCCTTGGCTTTAGCAGGTCCCACATGACCAGCCAAGGGGTCCTTGGCTTTGCACAGGATGGAAATCAAGTGCAAGCCAAGAAGAAAAACATTTATTGAAGACATAGAAAAGATACAGAGTGTTCAGAAGACTTAGAAAGTAAAAGGAGCAGGAGTCTTGTCTTTGCTCAGGAGTCTGGAGTTTTTATTAAGGCTGGTGATGTGGTGTACATGTGCTCCTAGGCATCCAGGACAGGAACTGGTAGAGCAACGATGAGCACTCCTGTGTCCTCCATAAAGCACTTATGCCCTGGAACCAGGGGTCTTGGCATTAAAGGTGTTTGTAGTCAGTGGTCTTGGAGAAGTTTATAAGCCTGCCCTGTTACCCCTTAGATGTTATGTATTGTGGTGAAGATTCCAAAGAAATCATTAACTCCTTGACCTTTATAAGAAGGACCTACATTAAGGCTTGTATAAGGCAGGGGTACAGGCCCTAGCAAGAATAGAAGCAGGAAAAGGAGCGAAGAAAAAGATGGCTTTTTTCCCCATGGGGTCCCTTTATGTATATATTTATAAATGTACATACATATATATGTATATATATAATTAACATAGTTTTATTTATATATATGAATACATATATTGGCTTTTTTCCATGAGGTCCCATATATATACTTATATATATCACATCAGGATATATACATATCCTGGTTTAATGAAACTGATAACCTAGTGGGAAATAGAAATCAACCAACCAGGAATCCCTGGGTGGCTCAGCGGTTTAGTGCCTGCCTTCAGCCCAGGGTGTGATCCTGAGACCCGGGGTCGAGTCTCACATCAGGCTTCCTGCATGGAGCCTGCTTCTTTCTCCCTCTGCCTGTGTCTCTGCCTCTCTTTCTCTCTGTGTCTCTCTTGAATAAATAAATAAAATCTTAAAAAAAAATCAACCAACCTAAAAGCCAAACAAATAGATTAATACCTGCAACTATGGGAGCTTGTAGTAATTATTAACCTGTGTTATAACTGTCCATTGTTGGGTCAGTGGCTGCTAGTAATGTTATTCCCTATCTTCATATCCTAGAACAAATTATCTAAGATTTTAAGTTAATAACTATTAAAATACAATATGCTTTTATGTATAATTTAATAATGTCTCATAATGTCCATAAAAACAACCAGTTATCAATATATTCATTTGGTTTCCCTTTGGTAGGTGGTATTTCTTCTTATTTATGGCAAATTGCACCCTGTTAGTGATTGCTTAGCTCCAATCATCATTAGATTTTCCCCCAATGGTGCATTTAATTACAACTAAAATGAATGTCTTATACTGGTCATTTTGGCAGTATACATACAAAGGGTTCAGTGTTCAACAGTGTGCTGGGTAAAAACCTTTGGAGTAGGGCCTTGCTAGGATGGAAGCTACTTTCCCCAGATAGTACCAATCCCTTAAATTCTAAATGTTTTCCAATTTCCGTTATGATTTTTCTGACCCATGAGTTGATTGGGAGAAAGAGTAGAAATATGAAGGTTTACTAGCTGCCTGTTGGTTATTGATTTCTACTTTAAATACATACTGGTCAGAGAATGTGGTTGCTATGATACCAATCCTTAGATGTTGTAGAGAGACCTGCTTTATGACCCAGTATGTTCAATTTTTGTCAACTTTTCACATATTCTTGTGTATTTCTGTTCTACGGTTTTTGAGTGCAATGTTCTGTTTGTACTCATTAAATCAAGCTTGGTAATTGTTATTCGGCTCTTCTAGTTCCTTAAAGATTTTTTGTCCCCTTGATCTACCTATTAGTTTCCTGCGGTACTGTAGCAAATTACCACAAGTGGTATGGTAAACAAAAGAAATGTACTCTCTCACAGTTCTGGAAGCTAGAAGTCTGGAATCAAGGCATTGGCAGGATGGAATTCTCTGGAAACTCTAGAGGGAGAATCCATTCTTTGCCTCCTCCAGATTGGGGTGGCTGTTGACATTTGAGTGGGAATGTAGCTCTATCATTCCAATCTCTGCTTCCAGGGTCACATTATCTCATGTCTGTTTTGTCTTCTCACATCTCCCACTGCCTTTCTCTCTTAGGAGGACACTTGTCATTGGTTTTATGGCCTACTTTGCTAATCCAGGAAGATCTCATCTCAAGAGCTTTAATTTCATCCTCAAAGACCCTGTTTCTAAAATATGGTAAAATTCACGGGCTCCAGAGATAAGGACACGGACATATCTTTTGGGGTACTATTCAAACCAAACCACTGCAATCCAGAGAGATGTGAAAATAACCTACCGTGATGGTAGATTTTTTCTTCTTGTGCTTCTGTCAACTTTTGCTTCATATACTTTGTGACCGTCTTATTAGAGATATATTTGTGATTTGTATTTTCCTTGTGTATTGAACATTTTATTACGTAGAGACCTCTATCTCCAGTCACACTAAGCCACTCCCCTAAATAGAAAGTCTCTTGATGATAAATGATCAGTTGCTGTTTGTCTGCAAAAGATTATGTTTGCCTTTTTCCATCCTCTTTTTTGCTGTGCACAGAATTCTAGGGTTACATTTTTTCCCACCCTTAGCATTTTACTCAATTATCTTTCACTTAAAAAAAATATTCTCCAAATTTTCCAGGGCCAGAAAATTAGTATAGTTCCAGGCCCAGGGAATTAAAAACAGGCACTGCTTCAAAAAAATGTGTGCCATTAGTATGTGGGAAGCACTGTCTAAAATTAAATCATCGTTAAGTGATTGGTAAACAGTTCCACTAAGTATAGCACAGAATATATATAGTGGGAAAACATATGCAGAGAAGCCGAAATAAATGTGGACATTGAAATACATCTGAGACCACGATTTCTCAGTGGCTGAAGTGGTTCTTCACACTCATTACACATCTGTGGAAATACAGATTCATCACCTGCTAGAGAAAAATGTAACAACAGGCTTTTCTGACAACTTTATCAGCCAGTAGCCAGGACGAGCTCCACAATAAACGATTATAACGTTTAACCTCATATAATATACTGCTATTGCTATAGTTCGGGAATGCAGAGAAATTCAAGAAATTATAGTTACATAACCTCTCCTTTTTTGCCCCTCAGGACTCTCATACGTAATCTCAAATTTGTAGTCACATTTGTTGAACACTGTGTGAAGCTTGGCATTTAAAAATTGAAAATTCCTGGCCTCAGTGTATGGAGAAGTTAAGGAACTTAAAAAAAAAAAATCCACAAATAGCTCAAACGCCTTTTTTCTTTTTTTTTTTTTTTTAGTCACCTTGCTATGTTTCGGTTTTTATTCTTGGTTTTGAGAGTTTCGGTAGTGTGGGCTGAAGCCCACGAGCAGAGCATCAAGGGCCACCCAGAGCATCCCTCCCGCATTTGTCATGTGCGGACCCAGGCCTCTCGGGAGCCCCGTCGCCAACCAAAGGCCCGGCCGGCGAGACCCTTCGCACACGTTGTGTGCGAAGACCCGGTAAACCCGGCGGGCGTTAAGAAAAACCCCACCGAGACGGGGGCCTGCGCCGCCGCGAACGCCAGAGGGTTTGGGGCGCATCTTCAGCAGCCGACCAGACTCCGGTCGTCCTGGCAACCGGACAGAGGACGCGCGTGCGCAAACTCTTGTCACGTGGGTCCGGCCCGGGAGCGGGGCGGGCGGGGGTGGGGGATCGACGTCGGCGCCTCCAGACCCGGGGCCCCTCCCCTCTCAGCGCGGGGCCAGCCGAGGCGGGCCAAACCTCTGCCCTTTGGCGTGGGGGTGACTCACAAGCTCCTGCCCCTTTTCTGCTTTCTCCTGGCTCGGTCCTCGCACCACGTGCCCTCCTGGCCGCGCCCCCAGCTGCCCTTTCCAACTGCCGGTTGGACGTTGCTGTAAAATGTCGTGAGGGGCGCTGCGCTTTACGGCTGCCTCTCCCAGGCTAGAGCCCGGGAGCGCCCACCGCCGTCAGCCGTGTCTCTCTGGAGTCGGCCCGGCGGACGCGGGGAGCCCCGGCGCGCCGCTGCCTGCCCCGCCGCGCCCGCGCCCGCGCCCGCGCCCGCGCCGGCCGCCGGCGATGTGAGCTCGCGGAGGCCGCGGTGCCCCCTGGCCCGGGGTTGCGACGGGCGGCAGGTGCCTGTGAGGCGGCGGGCGCTGGGGGCCGGCCTGCAGGATGGAGGAAAGCATGGAAGAGGAGGAGTGGGGCAGCTACGTGGCGATGATGGACGACCAGAACCACAACAACTGGGAGGCCGCGGTGGACGGCTTCCGGCAGCCCCCGCCGCCCCCGCCGCCCCCCTCGTCCATCTCGGCCCCCGCGCGAGAGCCGCCGGGGGGGCCGCTGCTGGCGGTGCCCGCGGCCTCGGTGGACAGGAAAGGCCCCAAGGAGGGGCTCTCGATGGGGCCGCCGCCCCCGCCCGAGGCCAACGGGGTGATCATGATGTTGAAGAGCTGCGACTCGGCCGCCGCCGTGGCCAAGGCGGCCCCCGCCCCCACCCCCAGCTCCACCATCAACATCAACACCTCCACCTCCAAGTTCTGTGAGTCCAGCCTCTCCCCAGCAGCCTTGGCTTTTCTCCTCCCCGCCCGGACGCCGGATCCACCCTTGTCGGCCAGCCCTGCGGCTTCCTTTGTTTCAGGCCTGGGTCTCTCCTCCCCCTCCCCTCCCCCCCCCCCCCCCCCCCCCGCCGCCCTGGGTGTCGCGGCCAGCGCCGGAGCGGCCCTGGCTCCTTGTGTTACCTGGCCTAGAGAGGCGGCCCGGTGCGCGCGCAGCCCCAAGTTCTCCCGCTCGCGAACATTAAGGAGCTCTTTTCTTCTCCGTTCCCCCTCAAAAGTTTCGCCCTGAACGTTAAGGGGGAAAACCAGGCCCTCTGAGCTTCGTTAGCAAGAGTCCTTTTTTTTTTGTTTTGTTTTGTTTTGTTTTGTTTTGTTTTTTTTGGTAGCCGGAGAGAAATCTGGCAATTGTATTTCTTGTGCTTTTAGCCAGTCTGCGTTAAACAACTCGGGGATCGGAGACCTGAGCAATGTCTACACCTCGTTCTTTTTCCTTCCTCGGTGTGCCCCTTCTGTGTCCTGATAGGGGAAAAAATGTAGGAGGTGCTTCTTGGGGGTGGGGGGGACACACCAGTGTGGTTGGGAGCGACATCCGTTTTGAAGCCAATAACGTATGAAATCAGTCTTGAAAGCCTGCACTCCTAAGAAAAAGCCATTTTTAGCGTGTGTCCCAAGTCCAAGATCATGTTGAGGGTTGAACTTTATGTTAGTGAGCTGCCTTAGCTGTTCAGTTGCCAGCAGGAAGATTGAAGACCAAAATCTTGTTTTGTATTTGTAATCCGAAACTGCCCCTAAGAGGTAGGCTTCTATAGCTAGGGGGAAAAAAAGTGCCTTTTTTTTTTTTTTTTTTTTTTTTTTTGTTGTTGTTGTTGCTGCTTTGAGTGGGTTTTCTGGAGGTGCTGGTAGTGGTGAGAAGTGACCATGGCAGCCAGATTTTTACTCTCCTATTAATAACTGCAGGTTTTGAATGGCATCTGGTAAAGCAACTGGAGATTTCATTTCTAGTTACTAATTTTATCAAGCGGTACCAGTAATTGTCCAATTAGCTGTGCAGAGAAAATATCTGCCTTGATTCAGATATACAATTACAGCTTTACACTTTTAGTTTTTTTGGTGGGAACAGCACATAACCTAATTTATTTGCCTTCAGGATAAAGCTTTGGTCAAAGACATTTGTGTGGACGTATGGTTGGTAAGATTCGGATAGGATTTTTTTTTTTTTTGTATTATGCATATGTGAGAATAATACATAGTTTGTGTATTGAAGTCTATATAAGTGAAACCAGGCCTTAAGTGGCCTGGTGACTTAATCTAAATGCTGACGGAAGCTTGTTTTAGTGCTTAAAGGGTTCAGTTAAAGAGTTCAGGAAACACCATCAACTTGAGAGCAGAAACCAATGAAATTAGCAACAAAAGAAAGATTTGCTAAACCAAAGGATTGTTCTTTGAAGATTAATAAGCTAGATAGACTTCTGATAAGATGGATCAAGAAAAGAAGACGCAAATATAAAAAATGGGGAATAACTACGAGCATGAGAATTTTTCAAAAAAACTTAATGAACTCCTATAGGTTGATAAATGTGAGAGCCTAGATGAAAAGTGTAAATTCTTAGAAAAATACAAACTGAAAGTTGGTATCAGAAGGAGTGGATAGCTTGAACTAATAAATATTTAGCAAACTGAAGTGGTAAAGACCTCCCCTTTCAAAAACTGGACAGAGGTCAGCGAGTTGCATTGAATGTTAAGTAACAATTCCTTTTTACAAGTCCTTCTAGGAAATAGGGAAATAAAAAGATGCCTAGCTCAGTTTACAAGGTTAGCGAAATCTTGATTTTAAAACTAGGTAAGGACAACATGAGAAAATTATAGATCTGCTTCAGTTATTAGCATAGATAGGAAAACCATATGTCATATTTAGCAGTATGTTAAAGGAATCATGATCCATGGAGTTTTTTAAGAATGTAGATATGAGTATCTCTTTACTGTTATTGTATCTCATTAATAAACTTGAGAAAAATCATGTATATCATAAAAACATTAGATAAGATCCAACAACTGTATATGATAAAAACTCTTAGCAAGCTTGGAATATGAGATAAATAGATCAAGGTCATTACCAAAAATCTATAGCAAATAATAATACTTAATGGAGAAATTATATAGATAATATTCATTTTGAGATCAGTAACAAGGATGTCCTCTCTCACTATTATTGTTTAACATGGTAAGAAAACGCCTAGCTACTACTACAAAGGGGAAAAATAAATAGAAGGATAGGAAGGGAAGCATAAAAACTCATTATTTGTGAATTTTATTTTATTTTTTCAAAGATTTATTTATTTATTTATTTATTTATTTATTCATTTATTTATTTATTTATTTATTTATTTATTTATTTATGGTAGACACAGAGAAAGAGAGGGAGGGAGGGAGAGAGGGAGAGCGGCAGAGACACAGGAGGAGGGAGAAGCAGGCTTCATGCCGGGAGCCTGACGTGGGACTTGATCCCAGGACTCCAGGATCATGCCCTCCGCCAATGGCAGGCGCCAAACCGCTGAGCCACCCAGGGATCCCCTATTTGTGAATTTTAATACTTAACTAGAAGGACCATTAAAATTCAGAGAAACTATTAGAACTAGTAAGAGTTTAGCAGGGTTACTGGATTGAAAGGCAAACTACAAAAATTTGTAGCATTCACTGCACTAGCAATAACCAACTAGTAAAGGTAGTCAGAAGTAAATATTGTATACAGTAAAAGCATCAGAATTATAAAGTGTCTAGGAATTAACACAAGAGTACGTAAGAACTTTAAGAAGAAAATTTTAACAACTTTAATAAGGAACTAGAAGAGGATCTAAATAAGGAAAAACTTCCCATGTTTTGGGATATGTTTGTTTATTATTATGAGGGTCAGTTTTCTTCATTTTAATCTGTAAAGTTCGATTAACACTGCCATCAAAATTTCAGTTGGTGTGTCTAAACTGGTTTGTAACCTAAATCTGAAATCCGTATGGCAGATGGAATAAAGTTTGTGAAGAGCTAAAGCAATCCTAAAGATTTGTTTTGATGGGGCTTGCCTTATCAGAAATTAAGATACTGTTTGAAGGCTTTGGTAATAAAAACTGTAGTGCAAGCGTATGAACAGAAAAAATAGACTTGGAAAACAAATTAGCAGGGCCTTACCCATATGTGTTCAGGAACTTAAGATAAGGGTAGCATAAATCATTGGAGAAATGAGTCATGTTAGGAAGAGTGGCTCACTGTATGGAAGGAAAAAATCTTACACTACAGACAGGATTGGTTATGGATAAATTTTAAAAGTGAGAGAAATTATAAAATTAATGGGAGACATTGTTGAAGAGGCTCTTTGGAGGACTTCTTAGGAGGACTCTTAAAACTTCAAAAATTTATAAAGGTAAAAAAATAATGACTGATTATATACAAATTAAAGATTTTTCACTCAGTGAAAGACAAGAAAGAATGAGAGAAGGTATCTGCAGTGCCCAAACTCGATAAAATGAGAGAAGGTATTTGCAGTGCCCAAACTCGATAAGGAGTTAATATGTAGACCAGACAGGGAAGTACACATCAGTAAAAAGAGGGCAGCAACTTCTGTAGTATGAAAATAGGCAAAGGATATTAATAAGTAGGTTACAGAATAGCAAATGTTAACATGCATAGAAGGATGTTTGGAATCATTAAGTAATCAGAGACCTGCAAATTAAACGAGTAATAGTGCCTTCCTACCTGTTAGGTTGGCAAAGAGTAGAGAGCTGGATGACACCAAGTGTGGGTGGGGATACAGGATTTGCTGGCTGAACTTACAATGTAGTGGCCCTGTGAGGTGTTGAGATGCCCACAGTCTCTGTGGACCAAATAATGAAAGCTGGAGTGTTGATGAAGCCCTGAGCTATGACAGTCAAAGTGAATTTCTGGATTGTAAGATGAAAACAGCTTCTGGTGGTCTGTTTTTGGAATAGGTAAAAAGAAAGCATTTTTTTAGCTTGTCGGATGCAAACTAGGTGCCAGGGATTGTGTTTATTTGTCCTAGTAGAGACCATATCTGGAACTACTACGATTGGAGTCACCTCTTCATTTGGTTTACTATAATCCACAGTCGTTCTCTAAGATCCATGTCCTCTGCACTGGCTCAGTAGGTTAGTGAAACAAGGTTCAGACAATCCCCATCCCACCATCTTTTTAAGTCTTTGAAGTTGATATTGTCCTCTCCAGTTTCAGAGATGTACTTTTGCTTTGGGTTTAATATTTTGTTAGGAAGGGGTGCAGCTAGGGGATTTTACTTGGCCCTTCTGACACTGATGATAACCCTTACTCCATAGTTTAGGGAGCCTTTAACTGTGTGTTCAAGGACTGGGGAAATTATAGGGTGGGTCCATGGATTCACTGGGCCTACTGTAAGATGGATTGAAGCCAAAACAGTCTTTCTCGATATGACATCACAGCTTCTGATCTGACTGGTTTACCACAGTGACGATCTGGTCCCTAAGAGTTAGTTTGGGCTTAGAGCCAGTGTTGAGTAACCCCTAAAAAGCCCAAGTGATTTTATTTCCCACATACACTGTCTCCTTGATGAAAACTTCCATATTCTATTGGAACCTCCATTCCCCTAGGAGGAAGACTTCAAGTATGCTCCTTTATGCAAATTTTGTAGGGTCCTTCCTTAGTGGAACCCATTGTCTCCTTTTCTCCAAGGGCTCTGTGTCTTTGAACAAACTCAGCCTGTATATTAGGTGGCATGCTATAATTCTTACATAGTAGCCACTTAAGTCAGGCCTCAGTTTGATATATCTAGGTTTTTTTTTTTTTTTTTAAGATTTTATTTATTTATTCATGAGACACAGAGAGGCAGAGACATAGGCAGAGGGAGAAGCAGGCTACCTGCGGGGAGCCTGATGTGGGACTCCATCCCAGGACCCTGGGACTATGCCCACAGCCAAAGGCAGATGCTCAACCACAGAGCTACCTG